CTATAATTGTGACTTTCGTTGAGACGCAAATAACGGAATGTACATGGGGATAGGTGCACCTTGCAAGAATTCTGTACGTGTTTACCGATCTTAATTAGGGATAGAATGAGAAAGGGGTTGAAAATGGTAGGGTTGCGGGGGTCGGCGTGTTGACAAGAATCGGCTTTTCGAATGGGACTTCGGGCGCCTTCGGTGGTTACCGACGCTCTTCGTGGTATTCTTAACTCGTGCTCGTGCTGGCTCGACTCAGTCGTTGACGCGCGCTCGTTTGGTTTGCTTCGGGTATTAATGGTGCTTCAATATACACGTTTCAATTCCACGGTACAAGTCAGATACAAAGGAAGCTCTGCTTGACCTGCGTCTCATTCACAGATAAATACCGTCGCAACATGTGCGTAACTGCGAGGTAAGACTCTGTTCTCTTCAAACGTATAACATTTCCTGCCAAAAAAGAATTTCACTATCTTAAAAAATCGTATATTTCTACAACGTGCCGTCCTCTCTATGAGGATGTTAATTCATCTGGAAGGTGTTAGGCTTTGCTAGAATTTTCCAAGTGTTCTAGAACAACGTGGAACATTATCAAGTATCAGGAAGTGGGAAAAAATTTCTGTTCGAAACGATGAATCAAAGTGTTTTTTGTATCAAATCCTCTAAATTTAATTTCCCGTACGATTGAATTCGGACATTTCATTCTTCCGTGTTTTAAGAATCGCGTGGACGTCATGGACTGGCACGAGAAACTAGTTCCCCGACGCGTTGTCAAACAACTAACTGCAGGTTCATTCATTAAACGTCGAGAGAAATTTTCCCCTGTCACGCAGGGAATATCGAAAATCCATAACCGTAGAGAGACGCGTAATAAATCTCGGGGACTCCCGTTACGTTTCCCAATCGTTCCTGATACGATAATAACAGTCGATCCCCGTTTGATCACCGAAATATTGATTGCATCGTCCGGTGGCGTTTCAACCGGTCCCTCCTCGCCTCTTTTTAATTTCACCCGGCGAACGAACTTGCAGAAAGAAGCAGTCGTTGCGAACGTACGAGCGAGGTTCTTCCCGATTGAATTTATTGTAGTTCCCAGGGAACGGCGCCGTATCCTAGGCACGGTCAATATTGACTCTGGCCCGAGCCAAAGCCCATCGTAATAAATTATTGACTTCATGGAAGGCGGCCGAGAGCATGAAGGTCCTGCGGTGATCTGTATTAATCGTTAGGCATCCACCGTTAGGACGATACTATTCGCCATAAGGCTTGACTGCGTTTAAAAGCCGGGTACTAAATCATTTTTATGATAGGATTATCTTCATTTCCCAGGGTAAACAGTTACAAATATCGATAGAGCGTATTATAAGGATTAATTGATAAGAGAGATAATGCAGGATATTCGTTGTTACGTTTATTTGTCTCAAACAATTAATCGATCAATACAAGTGAGCTGTGAGATTAAAAATGTTCCATGAAATTCAGTCTATCTTCTTAAAAGGAAAGATGATAAAGGGTTATCAAAATTGGGAGACGAATTTCCACGAACGGGTCGTAATTCGACATCCGCCTTGGAACTGCGTACAAGTGCACTGTGCACTTTTCCGTTAGGACCGTCGGCACTCGATACGCGATTCAGAGGGGTCGCCCACGCACCGAGCCACGCACACGTATATAAAGACAGCCACCCACACTTGGGCCAAACCGCCACCACCGTTCTTCTCTGTGTGCCGGCGATTTACGGGCAAGGGCAGCGACTGCTCTCTCTGTGTTAGTCACCGACCCATGGGGGGTGAAAGAGACTGCCAGGACTCCGCTTCCAGGGAAGGAAGGAAGGAAAAAAAAAATACGCGAGGCGAAAGAAAAGGTGGCGCACGTACACGCGCGCGTTAAACAGGCTCGACGTGTTTACTTTTGCATATGCACGCCGGTTGTACTTCGGGCGTTAAGCACGTAACCACTCCTGTCGCCGATTATTACTACAGCAAAAAGCTTCGTTTCCTCTTCTCTACGTTAATTGTTCGCGACGACCATTTTTATGATTATTTTTAATTATGTAAATTCTTTTAGAGCCATTGCTCATCGAGAAGTACTAATTTATGTGGTTTGATTAAGCTACGGGTTCATTCATTTAATTCATGTCGTGCTTATAATCATACAATCATAATCATCGATTGAGTCATTTATTATGAGATTAAGATCTTATCTCAAACAGGTTGCAGGCGAATGAAATATACAATTACATGTGTATCTAGATTTATTACCAATTCAGCAAGACTATAATTTGAATTTATTTTTGACGCAATATTAAATAGGAAAGTACAATTTAAATTTGCTCGACTTTTTACCTTTTTGTTAAATGGTTATCTTGAAGTTTCTCATCAATTCAGCATTTCGATATAAAATGTATAAAACAAGACTGTTTTCAATTTTCATAAAGCAATCGGATTTTATACTAGATTATTTTTATACATTTATACAAAAAATGTATTTGCAAAAAATATTAAAAATTAAATGCGTAATAAAATAAATTCTTATCTGAATTTCAATTCGCGTTATACATTTTTTATTTCATATGAAAGTCCGCGAATGGAATGTCTGTGAAATGGATTGGAAAAATGTGATTCACATACTTCGGTGATCATTCAAGCATACGTGATATGCCTCATAGCTTTCCATATTTCATTCTTCTATATTTTCTGCATATTCGATTCTTTTATAAATATATTAAACCCTCAGTTTACTAATAAATGTGTTAGACATGAAATCACGTTAAAATGCTAATTTACCAATCGTTGAGCGAAGGCTACTCGGCCCTTGAACCACTCGGGTTTCCGATATATTTACCGAGAAGGTAGACGAAAGCGGCTGGGCGTAAAAATAATACGACGCTCGAAACGATTGTACTTATATTTGCTCGGCCAGGCTACAACCATTTCCAGGCGGCAGGTCTATTTGTCGAGAGACCCCTCGACGGCGTTCGTAGGAATCGGGAGAGGCCGAGGGCGCTCGTTCGATTGGGACGCACGATATATGTTACGTGCTCGGCACGTACGTGCTGACTGGTTCGTACATAAGTACTTAGACGTAGGCATAAATAGCATAACGCGTGTGTTCAAACGGTGTGCGCGTCTGGAAACGAGAGGAAGGTGTACGGGGAGTAATAAAGACGAGAAGCGACGGAAAGGCATGTCGCTAATGCGAGCACGCGCGTTTTAACGATTTCTGATGTTGCTAATCCTTCTTATTTCTACCTGACTCGCCTTCCTGGTTCAAGGGAGTCAAAAGAGCGAGAACACTCGAGGCTATAAGCGGCCTTTAGTGCGGCGAGTGGTCTTAACCCCTTCGTCCTCTTCTCGGAACCTCTCTCCCCCATCGCCGATTCTTTCTCTCGGCCAGTCGCTCGTCGAATGGCGCGTAGTTTCTTTTCACGTAGGCTATTAGCATGAGGAAACGTGTACACTTCGTTTAAGCGACCGGTAAGAACTAGTCGATTGATTTTCCGGATTTGATTGGTAGCTAAATACTCGGAAGCCGCGTGAGCGTCGGTGATTTCACGGTTCGCCGTTTAAAGGAGGAATCCGCGTTTCGACGTTAAGTAGTCTTCGGGTTAGCGTGACGTCTCGACGCGGTAGAAAATTAGAGAGGTTTAGGCGTGTTGTAGTACCGGTATACTTACCTGTTTCCCATGAACCCGAGCCGAGCAGCGATTAGCGTCAATTAGATTAAAGTAAACCGCGCGGGGTGTACACCTCGGCAACGGCATGACGACGCAGATACAGAAATCTTCCGGTACGAAGCGAATCGCAAATAACAGGTCGGCGATTTCTCCCGCCCTTAGCGTCGCGGAGAAACTAATTATACGTATCGCAATAATTATTCTCACTTCGGACAATGCTAATACCACAGCGTGGGACAAAAATCTGTTAGTATATACAATTAAGGGGATCGACTCCGATAGCTGTGCGACAAGGTACACTGTCAATGTTATCTACAAAATTAGCCAAAAATATAGATTTACAGGAATATACTTTTCGTCCTTATATGAGAATATTTTTCGGTCCAGAGTGCGCCAGATTTGACTTTCCTCTTTTTGAAGAGGTACTTGATGATCGGAAAATATTCTCATATAAGGACGAAAAGCGTATTCCCGTAAACCCATATTTTCCACTATTTTTTCTCAAAATTTTACCATATAATAGTTTCTCAAATAAAGTTAATTTTCGACAAGTATTGATGTCACGACAGTTCTAACATGTTCGAGCTAATTACGGTTACTCTACCGTCGCCAATCGCAGTCGCTTTTGTAATACGAAATAAATGTTTTCTTTAATTTAAACTTAGCATATTTTATTTCTCGTCCTGTCTAATCATTGACGTCGACGAAATGATATTTCGTGTAAGAATGAAAAATCGATTGCGATCCCGCGTATTTATAAGATCGCGTAACTGTGCAGGTACGTGACGGGGCAGTTATAATCGTGAGAAAAGAAGTGACGGGAATCCGATACGGAGGTTGATAGACCATAAATACTTTGCGAGCTGCCCGTAGCACAGACGCCGCGCTGCATATGCAATTATCGAAAGTTTGTCAAACCAGGCACGTAGCTCCGTATATCCGCCGGTTATTCTCCTTCCCGGAGGAGGCTCGATCGTGCCCGGATTCGGGAAAATCCGCGAGCCTTCTATCCAGGTTCCTCAGTTACGGTACACAGCATCCTCTCGCGAATATAGTGACATAATAGGCAAACGTTCGGGCCGATGCACCGTTACGCAGAATGGTGCTGAGGTCAAAGAGCCGGCGCGGACGGAGGAGAAAGAAACCGTCGGCGAGAGGAGTCCCGGGATGCGTTCGGAGCGCATCGGGTTTATAGTATGCCCGTTCCTACGGCCGGCCGGTGAAACCTCATGAATATTTGAAGAGTCGAGAGATCACAAGATTGCGAACGTGGGGTATGTCCGAGGAAAGTTTCGCGCCGCAAAACAAACCTCTCGATCGAATCGTTATCCGCGGCTACCCGATCGTAAACCTCGTCTTGTACCGCGGTAGTTAAACAACGGTAATGACACACGCCGAAGAATGCGGTAATGAGCAAAGAAAGGGATGCGCGGCCTATAAGTATTTAGATCGCGTTCGTAGATCTTTATTTGCATCCGTTTAATTAAGTACACCCCGCGTTCTTCCCGGTAGAAAAACTCGGGATAAATTGTCTGCCCGAACGTTTTTATTATCTCCTGAAGATATATAATTACATATAAATACATACATATATTATATTGCGTATCAAGGGAATCATATATATTTAGCTTGGTTTTATTTCTAGAACGAATTCCTTCCTCGTAGTAGGTCTGACCAGTCGCAGATATTTTATTCTTAACTCGAGGCTTAAGTCTGAATGACGGGACGGCTTAACGATC